CAAATTTTTTTACTTTTTTTTTTTTTTTTTTTTTGTTCCTGTTCTCTTGTTTTTACTAAAGATAACTGATATAAGATCTTGTAAGACATCATACCATAATAATGCATCTACATTTTTGTCCATGCAGGCTTGTCCGATGCCTTTTTATGGCATGGAATTCCTGCACAATACGAGAAAAAGTAAGAATTTTATGCCATAGAAGACATTAAAAAGCAACCGAAAAGGAAAAATATCCACCCCTACCTGCTCTGCAAATTTCCTTTTGTGGTTATCAACATATCTGTGTTAATCAGGGATAGCTTCTATTAGTAATGCCCATCTCTTCCATTCCTATACACATTAATACCGACCTCAAATGAGGTCCTGAGAAGAACCTCACCAGGGTATCTCCTCTAGAGACCTCATTAATTTGGGGGTGGGGGGCTAAATTGTTTAAAAAATGCAAATAATGGGCATCAAATGGAAAGACATATAACTAGACTCCATTTTGACTAAAATCAAGGATAACATGTTGAAGAACTCAGTTAAAACCATTGCCCTACATCATTTTCTTTGTATTCTCAACCAGCTTTAGTTTTAATCAGTCAAAAGCATATTTTTTTAACAGTAAAAACACAATTCAAGTTGCCTCATTTGGTCTTATCATTTCTTATTATGTTAAACACTTAAAACGAAACACAGTGCACATCAGTAAATTCCAGTTTGTTTGAGATGAATTGCGCACCGGTCATTTCTACCCTCCCAGTGACTTTCTGCTCGCAGCCATGCTGCTGTCTGCCACGGAATAACAGAGCAACCATCACCACAACAAACACAAGCTATTTATGAACACAAATAAGGAGGTGGGGGTATAAAGGAAAGGACAAAGGATATAAAGGACAGATTTTATTTTTTTAATTTTTAATTTTTTGGTCTTGCTGGATGGGCCAGAGATATGAGGAGGCAAAGGAACAAAATACTTAACTAACATAAAGCATGCAAAACAATACTCGCCATGTTTTTTCTTCAAAATTTTCATTTGCATCAGTTGAATAAATAAAAAATAGAGCGAGCCAAGTGAATAAAGATGAAAAGGAAAGGAAAGGCACATAATAACCCATGTATAATTTGAACAAGGGTGTAGATAGGAAGGGGTGACATACCCAATATTCCTCATCTATCACAGCTTCTCTTGCCACAAATTGCCCAAATTCAAACTTTCTGTCATGCATCAACTCCTTTTCTGGCACTTGAAGTCGGTCAAATCGCAGATCAGCACCAGCTAACCTCTGTGTTTCCGATGAAGAAATAGATGTTGCTGGGACCTGTATTGATAGCTCTTCCTTCTTTCTTGTTTCAGAAGACCCAGAATAATTACTCATAGCTCTGTTGGCTCCCAAAAAAACCCATGTAGTATTTTTCTTAATTATCATGAATTATTTATTTACTAAAAGAAAAGAAAGGCATGGGCAAGAACTTACATTGTCCAAGATGGAGGAATTCTACTGAATTTGTGAAGATCCCTGAATCCATAATGGGAAAAGCTCAAGAATTCAGGTCTGTGAAGGGAAACAGTCAACATGAGAGCTTGGTTAAATTTCAGTACTGATGTTATTCATGTTACAAAGAATAAGAGAAAAGGAAAAGAAATAATTCAAAGGAAACCCCCACGCAAAAACAATAAATAAAAATAAAAATAAAAGAGAGAAAATCTGAAGAGGAAGAAGGAGGAGGTGTTGAGGGCTCCGTTCTATACAGACAGGCTGTACATTTCTAAAGACATAAGTTACTCCGTGGTGGGACACACGTGTGTCATGGATAAGACGAACTGCCCTTTCTTTATTTTTTATTCTTTTAACAAACACTCAAAATAATTTGGGAATTATATAAATATTTTGTGGATAATTAAAAATCTTATCTGATTGTCTTTTTCACCAAAATAAAATAATTAATACATTCATCACCTCATAAATAATAGGGATTAAGACTTCAAATTAGTTCTTCATTTTGTTTCTGTTTTTTTCAATTTTTAATTAAATTTTATATGGATTATTAATTTCTCTAACCTAGCCTGTAAAGGAAACACAGACTGGCATACGTATGGACGATGGATATTAACAAAGACTCGTTGAAAACTACAAATGATTACAATTTTAAAATATTTAAATATATATTAATATATTAATATTTTTAGGGTTTGGGGGTGATTACTTAAGGGTTAAGAAAAGGATTTTCCCTCCAAATCCATTTTTGGGTTAAGGGGGGACGAGTTTTATGATATTTGAGGGATTTTTTTTAAAAAAAAAGTTTGGAAGGAACCAAATATTTTTTAGAAATAATTATTTTTAGGGTTAATGAGGGATAAGAATTGTATTTATTTATTTTTCCAGAGTAATTATTAGTGTATCACTATATATTTATATATTTAACATATCTAGGAATTGTAATTTATTTTATTTATTTGTGGTTTTTAACAAGCTTCTGTTGATCTCTCATTGTTTAATTTTGCTTAACATATAAATCATGTTAATGAAAGAAGAAATCATAAGTGGTAGATCAATGAAAAACTAAAATCTATCTATCTAATTTTATAATGTAAAGTTGAATTTTATAATAAAAAAATTATAAAAAAACCCAACATGTGTTTTATTGAAATAAAACATGGTTTTATTTGGCATTATGATCTAATTGTGTTTTTAAAATTTATTTTAGTTTTGAATTAAATTTTTTAATTATTTTGATGTAATGATATTAAAAATATATTTTAAAATATAAAAATAAAATATTTTTTAATATTTTCTTAAAAATAATTTTTAATAATATTTTTTTTTAAAAAAAAGGCATCATCCACCACGAAGGGTTAGTGTTGTGTGGCGTCTAGACTCTAACACAAGTGTTTGGGGGGAGCCCACAGAGAATGGTATGGGAAACCAGTAGCGGCTCTTGTTTTTTGTTTCGTTGTCAGAGAGGAACACGTGTCTCTTCCTCTTCCCCCCAATGATGCTCTCTCTCCCATTCGTTACACTTCAATAATTAAAAGAAAAAAAAAAAAACATGTAGGTGGTAAGGACTTGAGATCAAGGGGTTTGCGGCATCATCCACCACGAAGGGTTAGTGTTGTGTGGCGTCTAGACTCTAACACAAGTGTTTGGGGGGAGCCCACAGAGAATGGTATGGGAAACCAGTAGCGGCTCTTGTTTTTTGTTTCGTTGTCAGAGAGGAACACGTGTCTCTTCCTCTTCCCCCCAATGATGCTCTCTCTCCCATTCGTTACACTTCAATAATTAAAAGAAAAAATAATTGTAATATCCCTCCAATATTTTTTTTTTTATATATGGGTCAATACCATTGCAGTTCACAATATATTATTTTCTTATTCAAGTGGAAATGATAAATCACTTAGAACAATATTTAGGTCTTAAATTAGTCCTCTATTGTTCATTTTCATAATCTTTTTCAATCTTTCTCTAGAATTAATTTTGAATGATAGCATGAAAACACAGTTGAAAAAGAGAGGGCGTCCCAAGTTGGGTGAATGGAGTTTGAGTTTTGTATTCACATGGCTAATTGAATTAAAAAGAAAAAAAGGTTGGATGTCCATATTATAAATTTAAATAGTCATAGATATAAATCTAAATTTTCTACAAATATATTTATATATTGTAAATATATTTATATATTGTAAATATATATTTCATGTTAAGTTTGATCGTATTTGATAATATCTATATTCTACTCATTATTTATTAAATACAAAATACAACTATTTATCTATACCATATCAATATTCATCACATATGAATTAAATTTTCATTTGGATTTGAACTTATATCAATATATAATATTTAGTAGCTACTTACCACTTTATTACAATATATATTTAGTACTTAGGTGCAATACATTTATATATAATTGGTAGACCAAGTAACAAATTCATGTGTGATATGAATAAATAGACATCTAAAAAGCCAAAAATCAACTCTTTATTTACGTGGCTACAGTTTTAAAAGCTTGTTTAATAACCTGGTAAAGATTATTTTTTAAAGCTTTTTTTATTTGAAAAATATATTTAAAATATTAATATATTAAAACAATAAAAAAATATTTATTTCAAACTAAAAAATCAAAAAATTTAAAAAATATGATTAAATTCCAATGCCACATGATTTGTAAAAGATGAGAGAGTGTTTCTCCTAATTAGGTTGAATGTTTAAGTTTTAAAAAGAAAAGGCAGAGAGCTGAAATTTCTTCTTCTCTTTCAAAGGAAATCCATGAGTGTTAGTGGGTAAGTTATTGTAATCAAAACCTTCTAAATTGGGTTAAATGGAGAAGGTAAAAGGTGGTATCTCCAACTAATGGTTGTTCTTTAAAAGAAAAAATGAGTCAGGATTAAATAAAATTGATAGTGCAAATATTAGTTTGATTAAATTGAAATCTTATTTTAGGGATTTAATAATTATGAAGTAGATTACTCTTTTGAAGATCAATTATGATTGTCAAAACACAAGGGTGGCTGGCCATAGTAGCCTTTATTAGGGCTGGAAAATTATGAAATTTTATGTTGGGTGTAGAATTTTAATTTGATTTTGACAACTATTATTTTTGTTCCTCTCTCTTCCTTAATTTTATGTCCTGCCCTACAATATTTCAAATCAAACCCTTAACTTCTTTTTATTTTTAATTTAGTTCATAATTTTTTAATTAATATTTATTTTATTTGAAATAATTTAAAATAATTTAAAATTAGTTTTAATTTCATCCTTTTAAATCAGAAGTAAAACAATAACAATTAGTATCAAAGAGCTAGCTAAACAAGAACAAGAATTTCAAATAAACAGAGTTAGATATATATATAGTACATATAAATAATAATGAAAATGGACGAAACAGGACCGGTGTTCACCGGATAAATCTTTCCAGATAAAAGACCATATAAATTTTAAGGTTAGTGGTGGTCGGCCTGGATAAGATAAATAATTAAAGAACAACCAAAAGTCAAGTTAACTCTGTTCATCCACCCTTTTTAAGACAGGATTGTCTTCGGATAACCTTTTAAAATGATTAATATCATGGATGATGATGGGCCAAAAAAAAAAAAAAAAACTAGTCTAAAGGATATATATCAAAATAATTATACCAATCAATTTCTTCACACCATAGCACAACAACTTCATCGTGTAGAAAACTCTCAACATGCGCATGTCTCTCTAAAAAAAAAAAAACACAAAACCTTTGTTTAAATCTTTTGATATACCACGAGAATATTTAAAAATATAATAATAGTTATTTTTTAAAATATTTTTTATTTTAAAAAATATAAAAATAAAATATTTTTTATTTTTTAAAATTAATTTTAATAATAACATATTAAAATGATCTAAAAACACTAAAAAAATTAAATTTTAATAAAAAATAAATTGAAATTAACTCTCAAACCTGCACTCACACCTTTTACATCTAAATCAAAACTCAGTTATATATATATATATATATATAATCTTTTGATTCTTTATAAGATCCAATATTATTATTTTTTTGTATTTTTTAATGATTTTTTAGTCAAGTTACTACATATAATTAATCAAAATAAAAATATAGAAAATGATTTTAACTATGATTTATTATAATTTCACTTTTATAATCGGTTTTTATTTTATCATATAGTAAATTGATTTTATTTTTAAATGAAAACAACAACAGTTCTTCTAATTGGAACAACTATGTACATTGCAAGAAAAACAAAAAGATCTTTCTTTTTTGTTTTTTTTGACAAAAAGACATGAAAATCTTATTACAAATATGAAGAATATTGTTTTAATTTTTAATTATGTTTTAGAGATGGTAAGAGTGCTATTTTCAAAGATTTGTAAAGATTGTAGTCAAGTTCTAAGAATGTAAATTAATATTGTAAGAAGGTGAATAAATCTTAGAGGCTGCAATAATCAACTTTTAGTTTAGAGAATAGTAATTGGCTTTCTTTTACGAAAAAAATAAATGTAATTGACTTGAAAATAATTATTATCTCCGATAATAAAGGCAATTCAAATCTTAATATCAAGATTATGAAGAAAAAGAGACTTGAGCTCAATCAATATATTACGAACAATCATGAAAATATTCCCAGTTTTGGTAGGAGATTACTTGCCTCGACACATGATGAAAAGAAAGATACCTTTTCTTCTTTTTTTTGCATGAATTGATTTGTTTTGTGAATGAATTGCAAGCAGTCTCCGGTTTAATCATCATCTGGTTGCAAATCTTTCCACATTCGTCTCTCCTTTGTGCCACAAATTCATCAGTGCATCTCATCGGTACAACTTTTCTGGCTTGACCTTCTTTCTTACCAAGAAATCTTGCAGGTGTTCTTCAAAATCTGGAAAAACTATACACGATGGCCTCCGTAGCAAGAACCCACACCATTTTGATTGCATATACATGTAAGAAAGGGTGGCAAGACCCTCAACTTGTTCATACAAAAATAGAAATAATTAAAAAAAAACCCTCATCCAAGCAAAGCCCGGCGGCATCTGTACATTCATTCATAGCTCAACAAGAAAAAGGCCCGTGACAGTAATCTTCTTAAATTCCCAGGAGTACTGCAATATTTGCTTTACTATTATCCTCCTGCGTCCCAATTAGTAGCCAAATGATCCCAGCATTGATTGGACCACCATATAGAGTACGATAGCAAATCTTTCAATGGTCAGGGTCTTTCAAATCCCATGCATGCTCAGCATCGTTTTCC